CAGTCATTGATGTGCCAATATCTCTTCGTTACCGACTTCTGTCAAGTACTTCCAAATGACAGAAACGACAGACCGGCGCTGGCACCAGGCCAACTATTGTCACCTGACACCGGACACACGGTCACGCTGGACACAGAATAGTTCCGCACACCTGCTTACTCATGAAAAGCCACTAAGCAAAAGAGTGAAGCATTGTAGCAAACCAGGAGGACGATGGTAGGAATCACCATATGTGGGAGAAGATGTGGGAAGTGGGAAGAAGTTCGGACGTGAGGCTCCTACCTTGATGAATTCCAATTCGGCGAGTAAGTGTTTGGGTGGGTGGTTATGCTCGCCCTTTGTCACTGCCCTTTGGTCATCCATTGTGGTCTCCGCACGGCACTTACACCATGAACCATTATCCGGAATCTTCTTTGCACAGACGCAGCGCCACGATTTGAAGTTTCGCTCTGGCATCACCTAATTTGCAAATTATAGCAACTGGAAATATTTGAGGAAGAGCAGTTTTTACCTGATAAATATTATACCTATATCCTTGAAACATTAACTTTTGATAACCTTTGAAGGAAGTAACAATTTGAGGTATGTCTGGATTGTAGCGCACAAATGAGACCTCAAAGCAATATGCATAATTAAACAGACAACATGATAAAGCCGACTGGGCGCGAAACGCACTTTTTTCTTGTCTTTGTCCGGAGATGATGGTATACTTATCATACTGATGGGAGAAATAGCTGACGTCTCTGTCGAAGACGATGAAAGATCTGATGACGCGGCCTTCTCAATTCCCAACATCTAAGAGGTACGCGTTATTCCAAAAATTGTAAACAATAAAATTCACAGAAGCGAAGAGAAAAACGAATAGCGTAATGGAGCCAGATCGCCAACAACACAGCACGAGCAAGAAAAAGAACTGGCAAGTGAAGTAAGATATTTATGCAGTGAGAATGAAGTGCCAAGTAAGTTTGAAGCAGGCATGCGACTGTTCGGTTGGCAGCACTGATCAACTGACATGTAAAGTGCAAAATTGCTGTACGAAGTAAAACTCAAATCGAGTACCGCAGAACGATCAGCTGATTGAGTCGTCGGGATCGATTCCGATAAGTTTGACAATCAGCTGATGAGATAGGAATACGATAACGGAACTACGAAGCGATTAAGAGACAGGGCAGCTCTGTTGAAAAAAATCACAAATCAGATGGGCAGGTGATAGTGACGAAGTACTGAGTCGTGAAATGTCTGATGATTGTGAGAGGGCATTGCGTGACTTGGCAACGTATAGAGGTCTAATGGACAGTAGGCCACAATGGCCGAGCGCACAGCCAGCAACCAGTTTCGCATGGCATAGATTCGTCTGAAAAACATGCTCGCAAAAAAGATATCGCGGACGCGGAGAATTACGCGCGATCGCAACGCCGCAAGGGGCGAAAGCGCGACCTGGAGATTCGGGAAAGTGAGTGAGTGAGCGAATGCTTAGTGAAATAGGATTGCTGCAGCCAAAATGTTCGTTCGCTCGACAAATGGACACACGAGCAAAGGTGGAGCGGATAAAAATACTCGCTGGATAATGTGCATGAAATTTGGCACTTCGCATTTCTGTAAAATGTTGAAGGTGTGGATACAGAAAGGTGTCATGAGATTCCAGACATAATTCCGGAAATAGTGCAGTTCTGAACTCCTCATGGATTATAGGGAACATAAATAATGAGCATTGGTACTATTCTCATTAGCGAGAAATCGCACAAGTACTGGTTCAACTTGACCAGTGTTCAAACAGAACACGCTACTAGCCCATAGTGCTACCGTGCAGCCGCCAACACCTCAGACAGTAGGTGCAGTCGTGCATTCCAAAAAGTGGAAGGAAGCAAGTTCTGCGTGGGATAGGAGTCGAGACTTTGAGTTGAACTAGGCGAATGGATCTAGGCCATCGCCGGTGTGTCGAGCGGCCGACGAATTGCAGCCACAAGTGGCGGCAGGCGAACGGCCTTCCACCCGGCACCAAAATGGGTCTACGTCGCGAATGGCATTGATTGCAGAGACTTCGACAGAAGACACACTCACACAGACACCCACTACCGCATACACAGATTCATATTTGCCATTACCGACTTCGGACTGAGCGGCACTGATAACCGATCCCACTCGTGCCTTTCCCGGAAGTCCACGCTCAAACGCAGCGGCACTTGCCTCCTCTAGCTCAAATCGAGTACGCGTAAACATAAACTGTAAGCATATCACAGGAAGAGCCCTATAAACCTAAGTTGCGTTCCAACAATATTTTATAAGTTATGTCAAGTTCTCACCTCGTCGCAGAGGAAATATGCTGATTCTATATATTTCATGTCCACAAATTTTTGTACTAAGGAAAGACAAATGGAAGTCAAATCTGAAAGTTCGAACTGAGCAGATTTCTATTTGGCTAATAGGTGTCTTGCCAAAATTATTTCTAGGTTATCTACAACAGCAAAAAGGCAAATAATGCTACCAGATATGCTTTTCATGAGAGCTAGATACTTCAGTAAAAACGGAAGTCAAGGCCACGAGGAGCAACAGATTACAATGAGAATGCAAACTAAAGTTAACGAAATGAAAAGATGATGACGTACAAAAAAGAATGAGATGGAAATGTCAAGAAAAAATTGCATGGCTTAACAGGAAATCTCATGAAGCAATGATGCAAGCGCCATGTAAGGAGATGCTGGCGAGAAATCAAAGCAGAACTGAGCAAATCCACTTAATTGTGGTCCTGTGAAAAGCGCGATTCTTGACTAAGAGTTTCCATCCCCGCCCTACCGCACCGAAGCATCGAAAGCGGGTCAGCCGGGCGTGCCAGCTCGAAACGAGGCCGCGAGATCGGTGGCCGGCAAAAC